GTTTTTTTTTTTTTTGGGGGGGGGGGGGGGGGGGGGGGGGGGGGCGTACTCATTTGTTGCCGTAGTCATTTGACCATTGACCACGCGTCCCTTTCGAGACGGAGCACCGTTCCTACCCCTACTAGAGACACCACCAACATTTGGGAGCTCTTTACGTTTCTGCCACAAACTCCATAAAAATTTCTTGCACATCACATGGGGGTTACTCATAGCCGTGCACGACGTAAATAGTCGTTAGACCATTGACCTCGCATCCCTACAAAGCCGGGACGGAGCACGCCGGGTTCTCACCGGACTAGGCTCTCACATCAATCGTCCAAGCGCGAAGCGCCGGGGTAGGCAGGCAAAAGTATACCTGAGCTCGTGGCCACAGGCCACGCACGACTGCCCTGCACCGCTGGTACGCCACCCACTTGGCGTCGAACGTCCTCCTCTCTCTCTCCGTCACGAGGTGCAAGAATCGGGACAGGTCCTCGCACAGCCTGGACCGCAGGGAAAGGCCGCCCTGACCCCCCCCGCCAGCGCTTCGGCCTCTCTTGTGGCCCCCTGCAGTCGTATATTCCATGGTCTCGTTGTGATCAAAACATGTCAAGGAAGGCGCTTTGGAAAGCCGAGGATTTGTGTTTTAGAGCAAGCATCGATCGCGCAATTTAGCCGGCTGACCAGTGAAATGGAGGCCAATGGACGATTGTATGTCGGCGGCAGCGGTGTGCTACAAGGCGTAGGCCGGGAACGGTGCCCCGGGCGTTGTGATTCACGGCCCCACCAGCCAACAACAGATGAAACGTACCGCCCAACGCGATGTGGTATACCCGACCCATCACCACAACAGCAGCACCGAACAACGCATAAGAGCAAAACTGAAAACACACACACATGTGGATGACAGACGTACGCACTGTTCCCATACAGATCATGCACACCTGCAAAACCATACAATCATGCACACAAAACAAAACGCCGAGACCCCGTGAAACATGTACGAGGTAGATTCACCGTCCCTGCGAAGGGCGGAGGGTCCTGACCCGGGGAGGTGGGTACCCGAAGCCCTCCCCCCCTCGAGTCACTCTCACCTACATCGTCTCTTAGGAGTAGGAGGCCATCTACACACACACGGTACGCCTCACGTGCGATACGACCAAACCAAAGACACAGCAGGCGTCGCAAAAATCAAGCTTCGAGCCCTTCCGGAGATACGCAAAAAAAAACAACGTGAGTGAGGGAAGTACATGGCGAGATCCGTCCGTCGCGACCACCAACCCCAACAGAGCGAACACAAACACATGCAACTGCACCTGAGCAAGATGATAAGAACCGACATCTGTTGGTAGAAATCACTCTACCCGTTGCCTCTCACGACATACTGTAGTTTTTTGGAGTGTTTTCTCCACAAGAATGAAATTGTTCGACTCTTTCGTCTGTCACCCACATGGGTGTGTTTTGTTTTTGCTCTTGCGCGTCATTCGGTGCTACCAACCCCAACCGAGCGAACACAAACACATGCAACTGCACCTGAACACGATGATAAAAACATGAAATCAATTGGTATAAATCATTCTACCCGTTGCCTCTCACGATTTACTGCAAATTTTTGGAGTATTTTGAAAAAGGTTGCGAAAAGAGGGAATCCATCGTCTTCGACAGACGTTGGGGAGATCGTTCTGTACCCTTACCCTTACGAAGGGGATTTCCACATGAATACAAATTGTCCATCTCTTTCGGAAAGTCTCCCCGGCAAGGGCCTTATCAAAAAGCGCGCGAACAGCCAGCCACCCCGAAAGCAGGGTGGCCCCATCTGCGTACCCCGTCCGTCGCCGCCCCACGCACCTGCTGGTCCTCCTTGCCCCGGCGGCCTCAAAGACCCGAACCCTAGCGAGGGCACCTCGAGCCGCGCCCTAAGCGCGAGGTAGTCGTCGTCCCACGGCACAGGCCCCACGCTCCCGCCGACGCCGACCCCGCTCCCGACCCCGCCTGCTCCTCCTCCAACTCCCGTCCCGGCCGGCCACCCGACACCTCCGTTGTACCATCCGGGCTCCACGCCCGACCCACCGCTGGCGTAGCCGGCGACTTGGTGGGGAGGCGGTGGGCGGCCATTGTCTCTGGCCGGGAGCGGGAGAGGAACAGCCTGGTGGTGGTGGTGGTGGTGGTGGTGGTGCTGTTGGGGTCGGGCGCTGTTGGTGTTGCGGCGTCTGGTGTTG